TTTCTGGTAGAGCTCCTTGCATATCTCCATGGAGATGACGCTGCTTTGCTTTTAATGTTCCAGGCAATGGCATTAAACATCAGCCTTGCATTTGTATAAGATAACTTCAAAATAGGGCTGGGTACCATTAAGAAGTTGCTGATACGATACATACCTTGATACATAGGCCACGATAAGACATACCTCGATACATAGGCCATGATACGATACATACCTCGATACGTAGGCCTCGATACGATACATACCTCAATACATAGGCCACGATACGATACATACGTCGATACAAAGGCCACGATACGATACATTTCTCGATACAAAGGCCACGATACGATACATATCTCGATACATAGGACACGATACGATACATACCTCGATACGTAGGCCTCGATACGATACATACGTCGATACAAAGGCCACGATACGATACATATATCGATACAAAGGCCACGATACGATACATATCTCGATACATAGGACACGATACGATACATACCTCAATACATAGGCCACGATACGATACATACGTCGATACAAGGCACGATACGATACATATATCGATACCACGATACGATACATATCTCGATACATAGGACATGATACGATACATACCTCAATACATAGGCCACAATACATACATATCTCGATACATAGGCCATGATACGATACATATCTGTTGTAGACCCTGACCATGACCCCGCTGCTGAGGTGTGAAAGTTTTGGTGCCAGCCTTATTAAGAGGGTTTTTATTCATTTGGTATTATTAAGAGAGTTTAATTTGGTAGCTTTTAGAGCATTAATAATTCATAGAATATAGCAAGATAATTGTTATAGCACTTAGTAGTAGGGCTGGGTATCATTATGATGCTGCCAATACGATACATACCTCGATACACAGACAACGATACGATACATATCTCGATACAGTGCTTTTTCGGTTTGATACAATATATTTCAAATTGATTTGATACGGTTCAATAAAAAGTAGTGGCTAAATCACGGCTGTGACACTAAAAGCCTTTGTTTAAACAATTTTTGTGCAAAAGTTAATATGAAACACAAACATTTTAATCATCAAAACAGTGAAAATGTCAAATGTTTCCCATAAATTATATATATTCTAAACAAGCAAAAAAACTATAGCGCTGTAAAAAAATAACTGAGTAAAATATACCAAAAAATAGACTTGGCGATATATCGATACAGCAGTCCCCGATATCGATACCTTGTCATTACATTAAACGATATATCAATATTTTGATATTTTCGCACATCCCTATAGTACAATTTTTCTGACTTATATGACTTATATGATTTATATGACTCTGGTTTTGTATCTTTTTATTTGTAACAACGAACTGCATTAATACTGTGCACATGATGTACAGGATGCTTGCACTTTGACAGGTGAGCGTGTGGCTTGCAGAGCGAAGGAAGTGGTCTTTGAAGCAGCTTTTTTCTTAGAATTGCTTATTGCTTTTCTCAGAATTACTGTGTGAGGGCTGACCATGGTGCACATACATGGGAGGAGCCTTGTGGGATCTATAATATAAATTTAAGAGAAATTCTACAGCAATTGGGTTCTGGCATGGACCTCACTAGCGAATCCTCAGCTAGTAAGTAAGATCTCACATTGAACTAGGCAACTCCCAGAAGCAGACCTAGTCACAGGGTAATACTCCAAAGCTACTTGCATAGTGGTTTGTCCTAATTATTTTTTATTTGAGCTTTTGAGTAAACTGTTGTCATTGAGTAAGACGATATCTAGCTGTGTATTGACCAGAGTGGCTTACTCAAGCCTCCTAACTCTGAGTCAGTGAGCTTGGCACAGCAATAAACACGATATCACCAGTACAGAATGACACAGGTAAAAGCCGAAAAATAAGATAAAGACAAACTACTTGTCTGGATCCTTTGTTGAGTGTTCCCTTAATTTCATCTTTATCAACGAGCGAGTCCAGCTAGAGACAAAGGTGAGTGCCATAATGTAATGTTGATGCTGTCTGGGAGGTAATGAGATTCAGTTTCAGCAATATCTCAATACATCAGTGTTTTCCAAACTTTTTCTTTTCTGGGGAGCCATATTTTAAAAGTAACAAACCTTTGGGACCCAAGTCAACATTATTAATAAATCACAAAATAAAGGTCAATTTGACCATTATTGAACATTAATATTATAATAACTTATTGTTGACTGAGCGATCGTGTCTCTCTGAACAATCAGTATTACTCAAATTTTAAACAATGAAAAACCTTAATTGGGTCAGCAATAAAAGGATCCATAAGTATCCTGAAGTGCACCTGTTGCACCTGAATACAAACTTCTGCGACATGTAGTGTGAGTCATATTGTTCATAAATTTTAATATTAATTAATTTAATAAATAGAAACCAGAAAAAGAAAAAAAAAGGGGACATCCCTGGTTTAGGTTGGTTAGAAATAATAAAACTGTGAAACAAGTGCATAATTAATGAAAATTGTTATGCACTTGGCACTAATATATCTAGTCCTGGTTTAGTTCCGGTCTAGTACCTGGTTTAGTCCCAGTTTAGTCCCGGTCTAGTCCTGGTTTAGTTACTGTCTAGTACCTGGTTTAGTCCTGGTCTAGTACCCTATAGTACCTGATTTAGTCCTGGTCTAGTACCTCGTTTAGTTTTGGTCTAGTACTTGGTTTACTCCCGGGCTAGTACCAGGTTTAGTTCCGGTCTAGCATCTGGTTTAGTCCTGGTCTACTTCCAAGTTTAGTCCCGGTCTAGTACCTTATAGTATGTGGTTTAGTCCCGGTCTAGAACCTCATAGTACCTGGTTTAGTCCAGGTCTAGTACCTGTATAGTCACATTTTCTTTGTGTTTTGATCATTTTTAAGCAGCTTTTCTGTATTTTACTTGAACCAATGACAGTTTATGCTTCTCTTTACTGTTGGCAGGGATCAAATTGGTCAAAAATAGGGACACTTTGGACATTTCTTGTACAAAACTGGAACAAATCTCTGGTTTTGTATAAATCTGCTGGGACAGGGGATGCAGGGCTCAAAAGTGAGACTGTCTCGGGTAAATAGGCACATCTGGTCACCCTAAAAATAAAGTTTGGTCCAAAATTTTATATAATTGTTTCTAAATCTAAATGAGTCAAGCCCAAGTCTCGCTGAGACAGTAAATATCGCGAGGACTGGGGCCTTCAAACCTGCCCATGAGCCTTTGCGGTTCCTCTTTCTAGCCGGCGCCTGAGAATGGGTACGTGTTTTCACGCTCGGATCCAGGAGAGAATCTTTGTGCATCTGACTATAAAACACAAGAAAACGCTAATCACGGGCTGCAAAGATTTAGATTAAACTTGTCCGGATAATATGGACTCAATCTTACTATGAGGATGAGTGTGGATTAGTAATTTTGTAACATTTTCCGTGCGATGTCTGTATGGTCCAAGATGGCTGCTCTCGTTAGCCAATTTGTTAGCGTCTGGAGGTGAACTTTGCTTAAATGGTCAGTTTTTGCTTTGGCTTCTTGACTCGCGATTTGGATATATTTTGCTAAACCATGTCTGCGATTTCCTGACATTTCTGCGGGTTTGTTTTTTGCCTTTTTTGGACAATATCTGAAGGGGATTTAGCTTTAGCCACTAGCCTGACGTGAGGTTGTCATGCTGTCCTCTCGATTTGCTGCACGCTGGATTTCCCTACTTCAACTATATTTTTCATGTTTTTCGAAATTAAATTATTGCCAGTTTGTGTCCAAAACGTGTCATAATCACCCATTTAAAAATTGCATTCTCGTTTTTTATTGAAATGCTTGAGTTTAATGATGAGTCTCTTTACGCGGATACCGATTCCCAATGCGGACAACTTAAACCTTGGAGAACTGATCCCTCAAGCATTTCAATTAAAACCATTTTTATTGCAGATATTGTGTTAAAACGTGTCTAAATGTGGGGTGTTTTTTTTTTTTTGCCCTAGGTATCTCAAGGGACAACTGGCATAAACGCCGCAAGACCGGTGGCAAACGCAAGCCCTACCACAAGAAGAGAAAGTATGAGCTCGGCAGGCCTCCCGCAAACACAAAGGTAAATAATAAATGTTTTTATTATGGGTAGAATCAGGGTTCCCACATGTTTTGGTTAATAAGTGCCTTCTCAGCAAGAACCTTCTAAAAAAAAAATTCAACTAATTGCGCGTCTTTTGTACAACATTTCTTGTGAGGGATCTCCAAACAGACCAAAAATTCATTCATTTTACATCAAAAACAAGGATATGCACATATTTGGGACCTGATGCTCAAAAGGAGTAGGATGAAGTTTTTATAAAACAATCAGTGTAGGACACAAAGTTTTTTAACCATGTGGTTGACACTTTTTAAATTACTTGCTACTTGTATGACCTTGCCATCACACAGAGGCATTTTTTTTTTAGAAATGCAACCATAGGGCCACTGTAGTTTTCTAAAATGAGAAATGTGTAATAAAATACTTTATCAATAGTTTTAAGGTTATATGCTGTTGAGTTCTAATAATACAAGTGAAAAAATGCATAGAACACTTAGATGGGCAATGTTCAAAAGCTTTTTATTCTTAAATATTTGGCAAAACGTGTCATCAGATCATTTTTCTTGCTTTGGACTACAGTATAAAATGATCTGGCGAAGGCTGTGTTGTGGAAATGCTTTTGGACATCGGCCATCTGACTGTGTTATGCATTTTCTTCCACTTATTTTGCTGTTCCTTGCATTTGCACCTCTACAAGAACCTTGGTGTGCGTTGGCAGTTTAATTTGAGTTCCAATACAAGAACATTTTTTGGTGATCTGTGTCTAACTGCAATCATATCACAGTGCAAAATGAATTGAGTTGGAATTATTGTAGACTTTAGCTGTAGTTGGAGTACATTGTTGTTAGAAACATGGTAATGTATTAGCAGATGTTGTGATTACATTAAATGAACCAGAAGTTTAAGCAAAATGTGGGAACCCTGATGGTTAAAATTAGTCTGTAAATATGCAGGATTGTTGCAGCAGCGTGAGTGATGAAAACTTTGCCTTAGGTTGGTCTTTTTTGGGCCGTTTTGGTTCAAAGCTCTGGACTTGCCGATGTTAGGATTGTCATAGTTACACTGACACGCATGAGGTCTTCTGTCCCTCAAACTGATTTTATTTGCTTTTTTTTTTTTGACTAAAGATTTTGTTTATTTCAGATTGGACCTCGCCGTATCCACACAGTGAGGGTCCGTGGCGGTAACAAGAAGTACCGTGCTCTGAGGTTGGATGTTGGAAACTTCTCTTGGGGCTCTGAGTGTAAGTCTGTTAACAAATAATTCAACTCTATGGTTTTGTTTTGTTTCAATGAGGATAACTTCGTCCAGTTCTGCTACTGAGTGCAAGTGACGACAATGTGACTCTGAGAAATATCCAACAATTTGGGACTGGGCCATTATACACTAACAGTTTGGAATTAATAAACACATTACTAAAGTTGCAAATTATCACAATGAAGTTAAATTACTGGCACCAAGACTATTGTTTAAACGACCTGCAAATGCAAAGCCCTTTAACCATGAAAATAGGGCTCTAGTCTAACATATTTTGTCAACTTAAGACTGCCGGTTTAGAGACATTACAAATTCTCAAAGGTGCTCTATCTGACCCAAACTGCAGTCATAAGATTACACAAGAGCTCATGCAAAATGACAGCAAATCTCAGTTAAATGGAGAAACTGTTCAAAAGGATGACAGTAGCTCTGAGCTTTTCTATGCAATCCCAAACTTTGTCAGTGCCTTTTGAACATGTTAATGTTTAGGGAATACACCTGTGAAAGATTGTAATGTCTGTACAAATATTCTAATTAAAATCAGAAGTTTGTTGTAGATGCTTTTCAAAAATATTGTACCTTACTGATATGGCCCAGCCCTGTAAACTTTGCCATTTATACTAAACTGTCAATTACTTAAATGAATGACCCTACTTATTTTTTGTTGTCTCATCCCAGGCTGCACACGTAAAACCAGGATCATCGATGTGGTCTACAACGCCTCCAACAACGAGCTGGTCCGAACCAAGACTCTGGTGAAGAACTGCATCGTTCTGGTGGACTCTCTGCCCTACAGACAGTGGTACGAGGCCCACTACGCCACTCCTCTGGGACGCAAGAAGGGAGCCAAGCTGGTGCGTGAAATATTCAACTTTGTCAGTTGTCTGAAGGATTAAAACTGGTTTTCAGCAAGGTTATGAAGTCGTTGCAAGGACTAAACAATGAAGCAGTTAAAGTTCACTAAAGGCGTTAATTTGAGGCCAACGCCACCAGGTTCTAGTGTAAAAATAAAAATGTTGCCTTTTCCAAATGTATTAAAAATCTACAGTGCATTACGTCAGTCTTCATTAACAATTTTTCAGTCATTTTTCAAACTGACTTGAATGTGCTCAATTCACAACTACAGCCAATGGCAAAAAATTTCCTCAACCGAAGAATTGAGTACATCTTTACATAAATAACTTTGTTTTTTTGTATAATCAAACTCTAGCTGCAAATCTTTTAAGTTAAAGGAGCAATTAAGTGAAATTAATATTGCCATATCCTTATGATGCAGATATATTGTCTTTCTATGAGGATATCTTTGTCCAGTTCTGCTACTGAATGCAAGTGGTGACAATCGTGACTCTGAGAAAGACTGTTTAGAATTGCATGTTACAGAGACAAATGTCATTTGAACACCTACTGACTTTTATTGTGGCGTTTATTGTAGACTCCTGAAGAGGAAGAGGTTCTGAACAAGAAAAGATCCAAGAAAACTCAGAAGAAATATGACGAGCGCAAAAAGACGGCCAAGATCAGCACGCTCCTAGAGGAGCAGTTCCAGCAGGGAAAACTGCTCGGTAAGATTCTTTACATGCAGCTTACATTAGGGTCTGATGTGAATAATGTACAAATTGGAAAAATAAGTGGCTCGGACTTATCTATTTGCATCTCCATAGATGTTAAGCTTCATGGCAGCGCTTCCATCATATTTGGTTTTACAATGTCAGTGTATCTGTTTATATGCTCTTTTCTGTTTGCACTGTATGCAATGTAACTTCAAATAGCCAAAAATGTAAATTGGCAGTGTTAAATTACAATAGATTTTTAAAAATTTGCGACAATGCCACTTGTCCATCAAATGTGTGTTAATTGTTTTATGCTGAAATTTCCATATTTTCCACCTAAAATAAAAAACATTTACATCAACCTTTTGTGTTTTAGCTTGCATCGCCTCCAGACCGGGCCAGTGCGGCAGGGCAGACGGCTACATCCTGGAAGGCAAAGAGCTGGAGTTCTACCTGAGGAAAATCAAGGCCAAGAAAGGCAAATAGATGTACAGCTGTTTGATACGACAATAAAATCCAAACGTCCCACTTCTGTCATTTGTTTTGTCATTTCAAACCTTTAGGGCACTGTAAAAATGTAAACAGTGAACAGCACAGGCTTGCTTCTATAATTTTGTATGGCAATACCCTAAGCAGTTAATTGGGTTAAGTGTTCAGTAGTAGTGAAGGGGTAAAATACTAGGTATAACTTGAACATTCTACAAGTAAAACGCCTGTTTAGTGCTTGAGCATTTATATTGGACAAGGGAAAAGGTAACTTCTCACTATAGTGAATTCATGACTGCTCTGACTGGGCTCAATGAAGTACCTCAACTTTTAACAGAATTCTTTTGCGAAATCAGTGATCAAACAGTATAAGTGAATCAGAGGTGTATGATGAAACTCACCTGTGCATGGAGTTTTTACCAGTGTAAACACATGTGTCTTGTGATAATTGGGCTCACCTCTCAAATCTGTCCTGTAACTTGGCATCACATGTTTGTATTAATAATGCATACATTTTATATACAGTACAGAGCATTATTTATTCATTCCAAACCCGGAGGTGGTAATTTATTGTGGCCACAGCTGCCCTGGTGCAGACTGATAATCTGTGCCATCACTCCTCCACACACCACTTTCATACTAGGCAATGTGGGTGAAGTGCCTTGCCTAAGGACACAACAGTTTTAGAACTGTGGCCCCCCCTGTGGCACCTGATTTTCCCAGCGGTTTCCCATCCAAGTACAAACCAGGCCCTTCCTGCTGAGCTTCTGAGATCTGACGGGCTCAGGCTTTCAGGCTTTGACAAGCTGGTATGGCCACACATTATACTGCATTCCAGGAAAAATAATTTGTCCAATGATAAAATCAGATGGGGAATCTTCAATAAAAGACTCATCAGTAAGAAAGTACATTGCATTCTACAGTTTTAAGTTAACTTTATAGAATAGAAAGATCCACAATTTATCAGGTATAGTTTAATATGTTTTGATTTTTGGTTGGGAGAGAGCATGTCAACCCTCTCAGGCTCAAATTAAATTTTAGTAAAAGGAAAAAATCTGATATTTGGGGAAAATGATCATATGGGATAGTAATATACAATCCTGACTTTTTTTTTGAGAGAGACCTTCACATCCAATACGTTCTGGGATGTTGCAGATTTGCAGCATTGGTCCGGTGTGGTAAATTAACACTGAAGACTGAAAATGATATGAACGCTAACTTTATGTGTATACCACTTTTCATAACAATGAAAACATAAAGCACAGTGTATCAGTGCTTTACAATGGCAGAACAACATCACTTTTTCGTGTGGTACTCCAAGAAACATTTTTTATCCTTTGTAAACAACAAAAGTACTTTGCACTTCTGGCAGGCCGTTTGTGTGTAGTCATTCTTGCACAGTCTTCATCGTCCGCATGGATGTGAAAAAAGACTCCTGAATAAAAAAAAAAAAGCTCAGAAAATATGGATTTGGAGTAAGTAGGTAATTGGCATTTAGCTGTTGCAAATCTGCAACGCCTGCCTGGAGAGGGTTAATGACACAACATAAACGTAAACACACCAGAGTAGTCGAGGGCTAATTTTCATCCGTCGTCCCAAATTGAAGTTCAGTGGGTATTTTAAAAAGAAAAAGTTTTTTTTTAAAATTATTGTTATTATTAAACTACAAATCTTAAATTTTACAATATATTAAATAAAAATTAAAAAAAGATGAGGTTACAAAATAGATCCATGTTACAAAACATGGATCTATTAAAATACGTAACTTCCTGGTATCTGCCACGTGACTGAACGCCTGCGCCTGATTGGCTGAGAGCAGGTCCTTCAGATGTAGGGTAAAGGTGGCGGACGGGCGAAAGTAGCAGTGATTACGTTGTCTGCACTCTCTAAAACCATGCTGATGAACAAGGTAAGGCTGTTCCTAACCGCATACATACATGTTTACGTTTTATACCAGATCTGTATCGTGTAGTGTCCTTTTCGTCCCGTTAAATGCTGCAGTTTTGTTGTCAACACTGGACACTGGAGTTAGCTTTCCACGTCAAAATGCTAATCATTCTTTTACATTTTTATCTTTTCGTCTGTCCGACTTTTATATTTCGCGTTTCTTCCTCATTCACAAAGTAATTTTAGCTTGTTATTGGAAAAACAGAAACGCCAGAGACTGATCTGCGCCAGTTGTGACCTCGTTTCACCTTACACTTCTTTAATACACCCCTGGTTTATGGTCAAATTGCACTCACAGACGTTTCAGATTGGACTGATATAATGCTGTTGTTTATTTGACCTTATGTGCAGATTAACGTAACTGTGCAATTTTGACATGTTTCTTTTTTTTATAGGCTTGTTGTTACAGCTTACTGCACAATTGTCTCAGTTATTTCATGTAAATATTAACTCAACACTTTTCTTATGTAACCATTGGCTAAGGGCTTTTAATTTTCCATTCTACTATCATAACAGAGGTGGGTAGAGTTGCCAAAAATTATACTCAAGTGTAGGGGTGTGCAAAAATATTGAAATATCGATATATCGTATCCTTAAATGTGATGATACAGTATTCATATCGTGGGCTGCTGTATCAATATATCACCAAGAGTATTTTTCGGTATATTTTACAAAATTTTGTTACTACAGTTTTGTTGTTTGTTTAGAGCAGGGGTCTCAGACTCGCGGCCCGGGGGCCAACTGCCGCCCGCGGAAGGATTTTTTGCGGCCCTCCACTTGATTCCAAAGAATAATGTCAGTGCGGCCCGCGGTAGATGTACGCACAATCCCACCCCCCTACCGCGGGCCGCACTGACAGATGAAGCTGCAATCGGTGCCCATGCAGATTCACAACAGATTATTAACGCAGTTTACATCCCAAAACTCAATTTACAGCAGTTGTGAAGCAACGAGTCTAAGTGGATCTGTTAAACGTGCACATACGGCGTCACCGAAGAACCAAAACAAACCACACCTGGTGGTACACGTGTGAGCACTTCACTTTACGCTCCCACAACCACAGTATCAGAGCGCAGAGGAGGCGCTGACACAATTCCCCTGTTCATAAGTATGGGACCTTTATTGGAGGGGCTAATAAGAAATAAAAAGACATTGACAGTCTGTTTACCTGCTCAACACTCGGTGCGTAACTTGCTGGCAACCAGATGACCAAGCTCCACCTGTGCGTCGCCGAAATCCACGCGCACTCAGCGGCAAACACAGCTGTCCCATTAATATGCAAGCACTACAAAACTGCAGTGATCTATTCCAGAGGCTTGGCGACATGTTAGCAAAAAGTACGAGGCAAAAACAAGCGTCTTCCATCCATGTTTGACATACGAGAAGCAGATACACTCCAGTGTGGTCCGCTTTCACACCGGCAAACGAACCAAAACTGGTCCGATTAACGAGCCTCTGTATCCCGGTAGAACAACGATACCTCCAGTAACCAATACTGATGTTCAGTGTTAATACCGCGGACCATCCTCATCTTATCACCATGAACTCATAAAACAGCAACGTAGAACTTTCTACAAACTCACTGCATCAGTCCTGAGTTCGGGTAACAGCAGCAGCCAACAGCGTTCAGCGTAGCGCGCAGCTCCTCAGGACGGCGCTGGGGTCTGGTCCTTGGTCTTCTGTCGTCCTACAAGCGCGTTGGTCAGATGGTCCGGAGGCTCTGTCCTCCATGTGCTGGTTCCAGACGGTGGCGAGCAAGACCAGTGCGCAATGACTGGGTCTGAGCAGGTACGTTCCGCCGTCTGCGCGCTGGTTCCGTGTTCCGTGCGGGGAAAGTGAGAATGCGCTGTGGACTACCTACAGGTCTGTGCTGCTCCTGTCCTCCGCGCTCAAGAACCGCGGCTGGTTCCGAGGTGGTGCAAAGCATCCGGACAGAAGCGTGAATCCAGTTTAGTTGGTGTCCGCATTTGGTTCTTCCCGGGAGAAGCGCTTTTCACTCCCCGCTCCACGTCATCTGAGCCCGGACAGAACCGGAGCTGCTCCTGCTGGTTCGGGACTCCGGTTTGGATCTAGTCCGACTGTATTTCTCACACTAGGCTAAAAGCAGGACATTTTTTAAAGGTGAATCAACTGAATGGGCGATTGCCTATTGCCATAAAATTATTTGGTTAATTAAAGCCTAAAATAACAAATGCTGGTTCCTACATGATCACGGGGAACACCGGGACCTCTGTGCAGGTCCTGAACAGAAGTACACACCCCCATTTTTGACTCACTCTGGAGCCACACGTTCGCACGTACTTGCTCTGATCTTCGTGTATTACATTGTCTGTATTGGCCATTGTTGGTAAAATAATTAGAAAATGAGTCGCGGCTGCGTCTGGACAACAATCTGTTACTGCGCTGGAGTCGTACAGCGCGTCATTACAGGCAAAGGAGACGCGTTTCTCCCATGATGCATCTAGAATAGTTCGTTTGGACCTGCTGTCTATGGTTTGGACCCGGGTTCGCGTTCACACCAGAGGAACCGCACCAAAGTTGGTCATTTGGTGCGGATTCAAGTGAACCGAGACCACCTCTTTTTTGAGGTCTCGGTCCGCTTGATTTGGTCCGGGTCAGAGTCCGATTGACGCTTTCACACCAACGCAAACGAACCGAACTAACCACTTTTGGTTCGAATGGACCGTTTGGTGCGCACCAAATACTGTCGGTGTGAAAGCACCTTAAAAGTCTTCGATAAACCACTCCTTGTGCAAAGTTCATATGAAACTCAAACATTTTAATCATCAAAACAAACAGTGAAAATGCCAAATGTGTTGCATAAAAGAGTTTCCTTCCTCTAAACCAGGGGTCTCAAACGTATCACAGCCATGATTTAGCCTTTATTTTTTTATTGAACCATGTCAAATTGATTTAAATTGATATATATATATATATATGTGTGTGTGTGTGTATATATATATATATGTATGTATATATACGTATATGTATGTATAAATGTATATGTATGTATATACATATATATTATGTGTGTGTATGTATATATAAAAAAAAAAAAAAATGTGTTTCTCACCTTCCACGGTGGTAGGTCTCTCTCACCCTCATTGAGCTCGGGTCCTCTACCAGAGGCCTGGGAGCTTGAGAGTTCTGCGCAGTATCTTTGCTGTTCCCAGTACTGCACTTTTCTGGACTGAGATGTCCATCGTTTTTCCCGGTATCTGTTGTAGCCACTCTTCCAGTTTGGGGGTTACAGCCCCGAGTGCTCCGATCACCACAGGCACCACTGATGCCTTTACTTTCCAGGCTCTCTCCAGCTCTTCCTTGAGCCCCTGGTATTTCTCTAGCTTCTCGTGTTCCTTTTTCCTGATATTACCATCGCTTGGTATTGCGATGTCAACCACCACGGCTCTGCTCTGTTTCTTATCGACCACCACTATGTCTGGTTGGTTCGCCATCACCATTCTGTCAGTCTGTATCTGGAAGTCCCACAGGATCTTGGCTCGGTCATTCTCCACAACCTTTGGAGGTGTTTCCCACCTTGATCCTGGGTTTCCAGCCCGTACTCTGCACAGATGTTTCTGTACACTATGCCCGCCACTTGGTTATGTCGCTCCATGTATGCTTTCCCTGCCAGCATCTTACACCCTGCAGTTATGTGCTGGACTGTCTCAGGAGCCTCTTTGCACAGTCTACACCGTGGGTCTTGTCTGGTGTGGTAGATCTGGGCCTCTATTGCTCAAGTGCCCAGGGCCTGCTCCTGAGCAGCCAGGATCAGTGCCTCTGTGCTGTCCTTCAGACCAGCCTTCTCAAGCCATTGGTAGGATTTCTTGATATCAGCCACTTCAGTTATGCTCCGGTGGTACGCCCCATGTAGGGGTTTGTCCTGCCATGATGGTCCCTCCAGCACCTCTTCCTCTGGACCCCACATTCTCTGAGCACCTCATCTGCCGGGGCCTTGTCCTTGATGTACTCAAGGAGCTTGGATGTTTCATCCTGGACAGTGGTTCCCACACTCACTAGTCCTCGGCCCCCTTCCGGCCTGCGTACAGTCTCAGGGTGCTGGATTTGGGATGGAACCCTCCATGCATGGTCAGGAGCTTTTGTGTCTTAACATCTGTGGTCTGTATCTCCTCCTTTGACCAGCTTACAATCCCTGCAGGGTATCTGATCACTGGCAGGGCGTAGCTGTTGATTGCCTGCACCTTGTTCTTGCCATTGAGCTGGCTTCTAAGGACTTGCCTCACTCTTTGCAGGTATTTGGCCGTAGCCGCTTTCCTTGTTGCCTCTTCGAGGTTGCCATATATATATATATATATATATATATATATATATATATATATATATATATATATATATATATATATATATATATATATATATATATATATATATATATATATATATATATATATAGAAATCGTATCGAGTTGTAAGCTCACTCTATTAAGAAATGTATCTCAAGTAGAAGTACAAAGTAGTAATCACTCACGTAAGAGTAATTTAAAGAGTAAAGGTCTGGATGTACCATCTGATTTACAATTTGAGTTCATGTCATTTGAGGGACAAAACATTAAAGGCACACAATGGGGTAACAAAGAAATCATATCTGAGTGAGTGGTACAAAAAGCACAAATGTTTAATTAAATAATTTCTTATTCTGTTCTTCAGTGTTCTGTTTAGCTTTGCATATGACTGAAAGGTTTTCTTTCTGCTCTCTTCTCTCTCATGATTTTTCTATTAAAAAATACATATTTGTTCTTTGCAGAATGACACTGTACTATCTCATTAGTCTTTATGATTTGATAATTTCATCAATTGTGATTTTTAATCGATTGCAATATATTGCAGCTCCAATTTGAGCTTAATGTGCCCCAGCCTGTTTCTAAAGTTTCTTGTTTGTTCCCAGTTGCTCCGAGCCTCGCTGCGCTCCGGCTTGCGTCTGCAGGGCACCAGTGCAGCGGCCGCTAAAGCCTCGTCTCCTGCTGCATCTGCTGGATACTCCTTTGGTGAGGGACAAACACTGTGGGATTGTGTGAATTATATCAACTGTTTTTAAGACCTTTTGTCCAGTTGACATAATTCATGTTCTTTTGCAATGGACCCTACCTGGACAACTGAAGAACTTTCATACATTCTATACTGATTGTATTTGTTTTTTTACATGTTGTGTTGTTTTGAGCAAATGGAGCGGTCGACTTGTCAATTATATTTAGCGTTTTAGTATTTCAACAAACATACAACAAAGTTTACTACTGAAAAGCATTCTAACCTAAAATTAATTCACCCAGGTTTTACAAGTCATGAAACTTTTCACATTTACATAACAAAAGTGTTATTGTGGCTCCACAGAACTAAGCGATCAGCAGAAAGAGTTCCAAGAACTCGCCAGAAAATTTGCCCGAGAAGAAATAGTCCCAGCAGCAGCAGAATACGACAGGACGGGAGAGGTGAGTATACTAGACAAGTTACACTACAAATTGCATAAAGTTTACTTTTCTTCACAAACTGCCACTAGAATGATGTAAATATATAATACATATTTCCCACAGGTACTATCAACAAGGTAGTGTAAAGAAAAACATGAAAACTTGTCATGTGCACTTTAAAGGTCCTATACCTCATCAAAAACATACCTGGAGTAGTGCTTTGTTTCTTCACGCTTCATACTGATGATTATGTGTCAATATTTATTCTTGTTCATCTTCAACTTCATCAATACTGTGAACACTGTGAAAATTAAAATAAACACAGACAGATAAAATGGCTCAGCTCTACATACAACACTATACAAATAAATACAGAATACAAAACAATATATGTACCGTATTCGCCTATACATCACCAGCTGTAGTTAAGTAGAATTTCTTTAAGTTTAACGTCTTTTCATTGCACTTTTTGTGCGTTTCTCTCTATCGTCGGTTTCTCTCTTTCTACTTTCTACTATTTCTCAGTCTCTGTTAACTTCTGGGGCAAAGTAAAAGGTCACATGACTCATAAAGGTAAACATTATTACCAATAAAATATATGAAAATAACAGAGTAATAATCATTTTCTGACTTATTGCTGTGAAACAAATACACTGACATTATCTTCAGCTACAGTTTGACATGTTTGAGTAACCCTCATTAGTCTATTTAAAAAAAAAAATAAAATTGGAGATTTGCTATGCCAGAGCTGAAATTATCCAAATGAGTCGAGTGTAGTTGCGGATTTTGTAAACACAGTGGAGCACTTCCTGTACCACATCATGTCACAAGGTGTTTTTTGTTTGAGAGAAGAGCTGCGGGTATGTTTGTGGGGAGGAAACATTATAACATAGATCAGAAAATAATATGGGCCCTTTTAACTTAACTTAACTTAATTAGATTAGTTTTTTAAGCAGTTCTTACATTTGTTTTCCAGTATCCTTTCCCTGTGATTAAGAAGGCATGGGAGCTTGGTCTGGTCAACGGTCACATTCCAGAAGAGTATGGTGTGTTTTAATCTAGTTTTTAGCTGCATCGCTCATTCTTTACTAATTTATTAAATGAATCTGTGTTTATTGTAAGTCCCCGCTCTTGTTTTCAGGTGGAATGGGGCTGTCCATCTTTGACACCTGCCTCATCACAGAAGAACTGGCTTATGGTTGCACAGGCATCCAGACCGCCATCGAAGCAAACTCACTCGGGGTAAGAATAAATTTTAATACTTAAAGGTTGTATAGAGGATTTTTTAAGGGAAGTGAAATACAGCGACAGTTCTTTGTCAAATGTTGCGCATGCGTGACACGACCTTCCTCCTCCGTCAGTAGAAACACCTCCTCCCGCCTCCTTACTCTAGAAATCACGCTTGTTTACATCCAGTGCGCGTTCAGAATTACTGTTGAAGTGACCTGTCTAGAAATATTTTAGCGACCAACGCATCAGTTTTTAGACCCTTCGTCTGCTTCAGTCGCGCAATCGCAGGAAGGAATCTCCAAGAATCACCTTAGTTTGTCTTCGCTCCTTTTCCCCTTCTCTTCTTCTTTCAGCGACATCAAAAACTGGACTTTCTTTTGCGACGAACTGGTCGTGGATTCTTGTCCGCCATCGCAACAAACTTTGTGCGAATTGCGAGGAAGCAACACTTTGAAAAAGCCTCTAAGAACAGCTGCATAAACCATGTAGTACTCATGAGCCGGCGAGTCAGTTACACTAGAAACGTAGAGAGTTTGATTGACAACATAACAGCCAATAGATAAAGAGGGAGCCTCGTTATCTATTGGCTCATATTTATCTGGCCTCACTACGTCCACAGTTCATAGATTTTCATTCTTGTTTTTTTTTTTTGGTCATCATAATTACAAGGCTGCTGAGTCTCTGTAATGCTATTTTAAACTTTCAATGACAATTTGAAACAAAACAAAAAAAAAATCCCCTATACAACCTTTAAGAAATTCTTGTACTGGCCCAGGAGAGATCGCTAAATTACTGTGCAACATGTATGAATGACATATAAAACCCCATTCAGGCATGTTTTTGATGAGGGAACAAGGTTATAACTTTGCAGAAAGCTCCAAAAAGTAGATTTTTTTGCATAGTGGCCATAATAGACTTTAAATAAATAATAAAACTACTGATGCTAAGTTGTTAAGAATGAATGTTTGGTGCTTCTTTCTTGCAGCAAATGCCTGTGATTCTCGCTGGCACTGACGCACAGAAGAGGAAATACCTGGGGAGAATGGTGGAGGAGCCTTTAATGTGTGTAAGTATTACCTTTTTTATGGTTAAACTTAAAGCCAAAACAGTGGCCTAGAAAGAGGTTTACAGTTTAACTTTATTGGTCTTTATTCTTATTATATTTAACCAGGAAAGTCCCACTGAGATTACTAATGTTTTTCAAGGGAGTCAGCAGCACAGTGCATCAGTATATATATTTAGACAATCAGTTATTGTAGATCCATGCCACAGATCTATGTGTGTGACAAGTGACCCTGGGGATTAAAGGAAGTTATCTCGCCACAGTAAAGTTGTAACCGGAAGTGGGGCTAATTGATGTGAGTTACAAACCATAGGTCTCATTTCCGAACCTTTCATTATAGAACATTGTAGAACATTATAGCACCTATAGAGGGATTGTCAGACTATGTCACTTTGTGCTCTACTGCAAATGTCTCTCTGCAGAAAGAGCCGCTGTCTTGTCGTGTATCATGTTAGTCTTATCGTGTCGGAATCTTGTATCATGTCAGTCGTCTTGTGTCGTGTCAGAGTCATCGTGTGTCATGCCAGAGTCGTCTTGTGTTGTGCCGGAGTCCAGTGGTCACTGGATGCAGCACACACCTCAAAGCTGCTTATTTACCTAGTTTGCACAAAAATTGCCAAAAACCAGTAGGAAAAGTAGGCATTGCTATTAAAACACAATTTTATACACATTTTAGTAGCAAAAAAGTTGACTCAAGAGTTTAGTTCTACTTTAATTACAATGTACTTTCTGGGGAATTTACTAACGTTAACTTTAAGTTTAGTATAACTTCTAAGAAATGTTCTGTCTTAACAAAAGTGTGTTGTTTTCAGGCCTACTGTGTGACCGAACCTGGAGCTGGTTCAGATGTGGCTGGGGTGAAAACTAAAGCTGAGAAAAAGGGAGATGAGTACGTGGTGAATGGGCAGAAGATGTGGATCACAAATGGAGGCAAAGCTAACTGGTTAGTCCTAAAACAATATTTGACTTTAGTATCAAGTTAAAGTTTGTATGCACAGGTGGAAAAGTTGTCTAAATGCTAAAGGTTAACGCTGGACAGCTTCATTTAGCTTCTAGTCTAGTTTCTCTGAAGGCGTAAAGTGGGACTAAACACTAAACTCCAGCTGCAACCGTATGTAATTACTTTGCCATTAAAACACCATATACACAGTTTAGTAGCAAAAAAGTAAATGTAGTGTTTAGTTCCTCTTTACCTTTGACTTCCTTTACCTTGTCTTTACCTTTTGTTTGCATGTTGTTTTTCAGGTACTTCCTTTTGGCCCGAACAAACCTAGATCCCAAATGTCCCGCGGGCAAAGCTTTCACAGGCTTCATTGTGGACGCAGACACTCCAGGAATCCAAGTCGGAAGAAAGGTGCAATGAGTAAATGTTAACAAGGGTTAACATTTGCCATTTTATTTTAATAAACAAACATATACATTTATTCAGATATTTTTCCAAACTCAGTAGTATTAATTTAACACGTTTTAGTTCACATTTTGTTTATAAACAACCTTAAAATGGTGGCTTGAGCAGGCGTGAGTGAAGACGCTGCGCATCAAACTCTGAAAACTTTTCAAAAGGAACTTACTTGGCTTCATCTTCAATTAAACTTGCCTTATAATGAGTCGCTGTGGAAAAAGAGCGACTATCACCACAAGTGCACCTCCCAAAGTAGTTAGTAGCCCGACAATATTCCAAATGTACGGACATTACCTCACAAATATCTCAAAGGGAAATCTGCTACAAACTTCTACATTGCTGTTATCCTGTAAAAAATAATCTTAGAAGGGCAATGGACACAAACTACATTTTGTGAACTGAAAAATGAAACCACCTCTCACTTATTTTGGACCTGCCCAGACTCTGTGTGTTTTTGGAAATAATTCATAAAACATAAACACGACTTCTTATCCCATTTTACCCTTTCTTATAAAGATGTGCTGTTTGGTTTTTGCAGTGTGCATCATAATGATATTATATAATTCATCTGTTAATCAAGTAACCTACACCCTTGAATATTAAATGGACATTTTGAGTTTTTAACCATTTTAGAATAAAACATAAAAAAACATACCTGGAGTTTTATTTCAGGTCATTCATGCTGGTCTTAATAATCCTCTGTTGAAAGTCCTTTGCCTTTGAGCCTCTCCAGACACTTCCTTTTGAAATGGAGCTCAGCAGTGACCACCCGCTACGGTTCTGGAAGTAAAATTCACATTCATTTTTCCCATCGCCTTTTCGAAAAATTCAAATACTTCAGTTCAAAGACATCTCAGAGGCTAAGCAGATATGTGGTAACTAATATCCATAACGCTTTTTTTTAAAGTCCAGAAAGCACCTTTTATAAACCACCAAGTTATTAAAACATTTTTGCCAAATCGTGCAGTTTTAAAGTTGCAGAAACAGATTTTGAATAATATTTGGGTCATTGCTGATCAGTTCTGTGAAAGCTTTCAAAATCTGAATATAAATTTTTTCGTGAAGCCTAAAAGTGAATGAGATATTTACTTTTGGAACTGTTGGGCCCCATATTCCGGGATTGTAAAGTCATATACAGAATTCCAGAGTCATTTTAAGTATTTCTGCCATCAGATCACATTCATTACTGCTGCGTGCTTACACCACACACTGTGATAATCTCCTTTTTATTATTTTACTTTTCTATTTTGTTAAAGTTGTGTGACTATGTGCTTTTGTAGGAGATGAACATGGGCCAGCGGTGCTCCGACACCCGGGGCATCGTGTTTGAGGACGTGAGGATTCCCAAAGAAAACGTCCTGCTCGGAGAAGGTGCCGGCTTCAAGATTGCGATGGGCGCTTTCGACAAGACCAGACCACCGGTGAGTCTTTACAGCACCATACCTGATTTTTACTTCGGCGTGAAAAACAGAACAAGTTGCTTTTAGTTTGCTTTTTTTCCTCACTTTCCTAACACATTTCGAGCATTCTGATTATGAACAGCGATGAGTTTATAAGCACTTTTCACAACTTTCAAACACCAGACCAGAGTTTTGCCATCACAGCAACACTAACAAGATGGCACAGATGGCTTTATAATTGGATACAGATGGTACACAGTGGCCACAAAGGACTACTTTTACAGTCTTTTATCTGTTCTGGAGTGACATTTTATTCCTAGAAAAAAAAAATCTTTCTTAGAAAATGTTTAGAGCTGCCTTTATTGCATTAAACTGCTGAATATATAACTGCTTTAAAAGTTATATTGATGTAGGGTTGTACAGAAAGCAGATACTAATCAAAACTAAAACTGGCATTGAAACTAGATACTCATTTGAGCAGGTATTGATACTAAAAAGTCTGACAGAACAGAACAGAAATTAACCTTTCCTGTAGATCTTTAGAACAGGGTGACTAGATGTCCGTATTTACCCGGGACATACCCAGTTTTGAACCCTGTGTCCCCTGTCCCAGCAGATTTATCCAAAACCAGTGATTTATCCCAGTTTTACGAAAGAAATGTCCCAGATGTCCATATTTTGGACCAATCTAATCCCTTCCAACAGTACAGAGAGACATGAATTGTCATTTGTTTAGGTAAAATACAGAAAAGCTTCTTAAAAATGACCAAAATACACAAAAAAAAGTGCCTATCCTTATTTACGCACTCATTTCACAGTTTTATTTATTATTACCAACCACCACAAACCGAGAGTGTCCCAGTTTTTGATTTTGAAATCTGGTGAGCCTACTTTAGAATGATCTTGAGCTGTATCAGAACAAGTATAAGAGCACATAGACAAGTATACGCCCATGGATCAGATTGAGTAATCCCACGTTGGTTCCAGATATAAGTACACATGGTAATATAAAAGAAAATACTATTATTGAATGAAAATGTCATTCTGTTGTCTACAAAATGTGTTTTATGGAGTCTGAACTGGTATTGAGTATTGAGTCTATTGTTATCACAAACTTTTTATTTTACTTTTTTAAAGGTTGCTGCTGGAGCGACTGGGCTGGCACAGAGAGCTCTGGAGGAGGCCACTAACTATGCCCTGGAGAGGAAAACCTTTGGCAAAGTCATCGCTGAGGTCTGGATTGCCACACACATATACACACACGAGTTTACGGTCAGGGAAGTAACAACCAACCAAGGTGGAAAGTGGTATACTTTAAGTAATGTTTAATTAACAGGAATGTATAAAAGGGTAAATTAACAAACATTCTAAAATATGTAAATAAAATAACCTAAACTAAGAAACAAAATAACAGAATTAACATACAGGTTTTGTGCCAGAAATGAGTCACATAGGCTTATACAAAAACGAGTGACTAAACTACTAAACTAGGGACACAAAACAAAGAGTAAAACCACATAAACCCACAAATGGAATCGAGTGACAAAACAAAAAGGCACAAAACAGAGAGTCAGATGCGTACTAGTACAAACAAAGTGACTGACACGAAAGCGACACAGACACACACAAAATGGCAGACTGGACACAAAGGCCAGTACCCCCGAACTGGGAATGTTCTTAAATAGGGGGAGGTGGCTGGAGGTAAAACTGTTGTAGACAAGCCCCACCAATCAGGGACCAGAATTGAACAGCCAACCAAGACCAGTCAGGAGAGTAGTCCAATCAACAACAAGGGCTCCCACAGCAGAAATGTATAGGAACAGAAAAAGGAATTAAAACACACACAAAGCAAGATAAAGAACTGACATACATTATATAGAAATCAGAGGTACACTACCGGTTAAAAGTTTGGACACAGTGGCTCAGTTGGTAGAGCGTTTGTCCACTGATCTAAAGGTTGGATGTTCAAATTATAAACATCATTGGTTGAGCGGTCAAATCCACTGACCCACAGGTTGGCAGTACGATTCCAGCTCCCACAGATTAATGCTGTGGTTGTGTCTTTGGTCCTTGGGCAAGACGCTTAACCCGCTTAACCCTAGTGTCTACGTACACTGGTGTATGAATGTTTGTGAATGGGCGAGTGGTTCCTTGACCAGATGGTGACCAGACGTCTCTATTTACCCGGGACAGTCCCAGTTTTGAGCCCTCTGTGCCCTGTCCCAGCAGATTTATGCAAAACTAGTGATTTGTCCTAGGTTTATACAAGAAATGTCGTTGGTCATTTGTTTAGGTAAAATACAGAAGAGAGAACCAAAACACAAAGAAAATTACTCAAATGTTAGTCATGAATGGGCCACCACAAAGCAGGAATGTCCTAGTTTTTGATTTTGAAAAGCTGGTCACCCTAGCTTTGAGCCTTGAAGGTGGAAAAGTATAAAAATGTCAAAAAAAAAATCACCATTTACCATCTACTCTTTAAGTATTTTTAAATGTTTACTACTTTGAACAATTCATACTGAAGACATCAAATATATGAAGTAAGATGTATCGAAACGTGGGAAAAAGGTGAAATAACTTGAGGAACTGTTGCCATTTTACAAACCCTCTCCTCCTCCCCTCGTGTCCACAGCACCAGGCGGTCTCGTTCATGCTGGCGGAGATGGCTATGAAAGTGGAGCTGGCCCGTATGGCCTATCAGCGTTCGGCCTGGGAAGTGGACCAGGGCAGACGGAACACGTACTACGCCTCCATCGCCAAAGCTTTCGCCGGAGACATCGCCAACCAGGTGGCCTCCGACGCAGTGCAGGTCTTTGGGGGCAATGGGTTCAACAGGGACTACCCCGTGGAGAAACTCATGAGAGACGCCAAGATCTACCAGGTACTGATTCTGAAGATGGGTAATTTTTTTTGTGTGTGTCCAAAAATATTTAATTGGTATTCTGGTGCTGCTCAGTGATACTTAGGGAAAAGGACACAGGACCAGGGATGTCAGGATTTGGTGAACTGATACATTTTGCTCATAATGTAACTGCAAGGAATAAAAATAGTAGCAGAAGCAAAATTAAGTCATTTCAATAGGCTCTGTGGCACAACGGCAGCTGGCTACTCCTGGTCAGAGGGATCATTTCCACCTCGATTTTAATTCTATGAAGTTTTTTGCCACGTCACGATTCTTTGTGTGTTGATCCTAATGCTAATTTCTGAGGATAATAAATATTTAAATAACACCACAGACTGAAATAATCTAGACCTACCAATAATCAATTCATTTTTAAATTTGAAATTGTTAAGTTGGATGCAACATTTTGATAAAAGTTAGCATTAAAGGGTTCCCAGGGTCATGGAAATCCTGGAAAAGTCATGGAAATTGAAAATGTCATTTTCCAGGCCCAGAAAAATCATGCAATTTTAGTATCTCTTTCTGTTAAGTTATCATTAGGTTATTATGATTATTTCTGAACGTCTGCGCCTTTTGTTTAAAAGAGACAATAAATGCACTTACATTATTTTGAATGTTAAAAAACTATAATACCAAACCATAAGGTGAGTGGAAAGAGTTAACATTTTATATTTAGTTCTAAATGTATGATCAATTCTACACATGTAGGTGCCGTAGAGTCATGGAAAATTCACTTTAGATCATGAAAAAGTCTTGGAAAAGTTTGTCACTGAAAAAGAGTGGGAACCTTGTAGTGTTGTCAAGATATGAACATTTCTTGATTTCGATACTAAGGAATAGACCCGGGTGTAGGTACCGTAAAGCCAGGGTTCCATGACTTTCATGACCTAAAGTAAGTTTTCCATGACATAAGTACTGACACACAAAGAGTTACCATTTGTTAAAGCAGAAGTGTCCTCCAGTGAAGTATAAGCTCTATTCACACTTACCTGAAGACTTTGGAAATATGCAGATGACAACTTCCAGTGTAATTACGGACACTTGGCATGTGATAAACCGTGAATTCAGAAGCAGCGTCTTAACAACCTGCCAAAGATTTCCATGGGGGACATGACTCTAATCGCGTCTTCGATGACACTTACAGGCAGCTGAGTGTAACTGTTGATCTGCCGAACATAATGAGACGCTACAATGACAGCTTTATTTTATTTTTTTATTAAGTTAGACAAATTATAATACACAAATGAATAGGCAGTTTATAAAAGGAAAAACTAAAGAATACAGTGACATCTAGATGAAGAAAACCGGGCCATTTTCTTACGTTTTTCAGATTTTTTCAGAGTTACTATCACCAACAAAAGCCCAAAGGAAGTCGTCATCCACGTGTTTCTTAACGTCTTCTGGTTTTGTGACGCAAGCGTGAATAGAGCCAATTCTAACCCGTGAAGTTGAAGACTAATAAGTCACATTAAAATTGATAAATATTGATTTCTTTGTGGTTGGTGCTAATGCCAATTTCTAAGATTAATTAATCAACACCTACCAATAATCAGTTCGTGTTTTAACACAAATTTAAAGTTGTTAAGATAGTTTTTGACTGCAAATTTTGATTAAAAACCAGCGTTACTATTAGCACACAAAAAGGTACCACAAGTGAAGTATTCTCCACCTTTTATTGTTGTTTTTTTTAACACCACTGCCCACCAAAGAAGTAATCTAAAGTGTAATTTTATCTAGGTGTTTGTTTGCTTGACTTTATTCATAAAGCTGTTCACATACAAGAGGAATGCTTATTTTGAAATTGTGTTTTTCTCGATCAATAACTGTACTTGTAATCTCACTGTATGTATTGAGTACTCCAGTAGTCTTTGTGTGGTACAGTTTAATCCGTTTTGTGTTGGTATTTACTTCTCCTACTTTTGAAAAGGCTAAAGAAGTTTAAATAGCAAATATTTAGATCCTGAGTTGTTTTGAAACTGAAATATTTGCTCATGTAAAACGTTTGCTTTTCAGACTTCACTCTGTGTGGTTTTGACATTTGCGTCGTTTTCGTTTTATTGCAGATTTACGAAGGCACAGCTCAGATCCAGAGAATGATCGTGGCTCGTGAACATCTCGGACGATACAAGAAATAACCTGACAAGACAAATGGTTGCCTCGTTTATATTTATGTACTTTGTTTTACCGTGTTTTTGCGATCTCTAAAAGCAGGTACACGAATACAGTTGCCTTAACACACCTTTGTAATGTTTAAATTGTACAAATGAGAAATAGGAAAATTAACACACACTCATGGGATTGTTAAGCGTGATGTAACTTCCGGGTCCATCAGCCAATAGTTTAACTCTAACTTTAACACATTCATAAGCAAGAATCTGTGTTTATAATTGTGTTGGTGAGGTGTAGCAATAATTTATCATATCGTATTACCAGTGTGTACATTATTTACGTATTTTATAGAGTTTGTGGTTAAGGGGTCTTTTTTTTTTTTACGCTATTTTCTGATCCATTTTATTGTTTCGTCATCACAAACAGACGCGGAGTTGTTTTTATTTTTAATTCTGACAAGTTTAACACACAAATCCTGCATATTTAGGCTGAGTTCTTCTCTTAAATGGAAAATGTGCTGCGCTCCGTTGTGTTTTTAAACTCCATTCACCTTCACTAGAATCATTTTCGATATTGGAATTGCCAGTTTTTACCGAACAAAAGCTAAAAGGTACTCTACTTGTTAACTTGAATTACCTCTTCACAAGTTGGAACAGAGAATTTTGAGCCTAATAATGCCGTATTAACCAAACGTGAATGTATAAATGAAACAAAACACAACTCCAGGTATGTTTTTGATGAGGAAATAACATTCTAACATGAGCTTTAATCCGTTTTAGAATGTTGTTACCTCAAGAGTCAATGTTGCGTAATATAGGACCTTTTTAAACATACGCTTTTGGAAGGTAATTGTCCCTTGTTTGGTGAATAATGAACAAAAACAAAACTAGAAATCAGCTGTGAAGTTGCTGGTTTGACCCGGAAGTGACATAATCAAACTATATCAATGTAAAGAAGGTTTCAACTGTGTGTTTTTCATATTTACTACTTGCAAAATTCCATTTACGCCAATCCTTGTTTTTACAGTGATAGTGGAATGAAAATGTCTCTAGCCTAACAATACAGAGCTTTATGAAATGTGACAGACGAGCAACAAAACGGACCAGTTATGCAGAGCTGTGAAGTATCTAAACGAGATTGTCAATCGATCAATGGCAAGCGCTTGTTCAAAATCTCACTCGCCTCTGAACAAACTGAATTGTAAAGTAAGACTGAGTTGCCTCTTCTGTTTTCAGCATGTGGGGAAAATAAACATCTTTATCTACAAATATGGTACTGGTGTGATGTTTTATTATGTACTGAAATAACCAAGCAATTGTTTATAATATTATGATTTCAGTTCTAGGAATTGATCACCCCTGGACATTGGAATTTTAAGTGTGGAGTGTGAAGGAACAGGCGATTTGATCTTTCAAACTTCATTGTATTGAATGGCTACTCAACTTGGTTACTTAAGCAGTGATCTGAAAATAATTTTAACTCTCATAGAATGTTCCACAGTATGGCTTAAAACATTTGTCTAGCATTTATCACAGTTGTTGCAGAAATATACCCTGAAAAGCATGTGTTCTCCAAAGATGGGACCGAGTCGTTGTTTTGCAAGTCTCAAGTAAGTCTCAAGTCTTTGACCTCAAGTCCAAGTCAAGTCCTAAGTCAAAGACAAGGCAGGTCGAGTCTGGAGTCAGTGGCCTATAAGTCCAAGTTAAGTCCAAGTCATCTGCTTTGAGCTTCAAGATATTTAAATTCTTTAAACTGAAGTACCAAATATAGGTTAGATTTTTGCAATTTATATGAATTTTAAGCTAAACTGTACTTTTAAAAGTCATGGTGTATTTATGAGTATTTATGTAAAAGAGCTGTAGTTGCAATTTTTTCTTTTTTAAATGTCTTGTCAAGATCTTAGTGCGAATCATTATGGTCAGAATAGAAAGTTTTCTCAAGTCACAGGGCTTAAGTTCAAGTCAAGTCCTAAAAATAGTGACTCAAGTCCAAGTCACAACTTGCAAGTCCCCACCTCTGATACTTACTGTGAGTAGTGTCGCCTCTCCACAGATTAGACCTGTTAACATGGCCCAGTAGCATCACCTGCTCATCTACATGAAGATCTACAACTGTAATTATAACATATTGCGGAACATTCTATGCAAAGAAATAACAGACACTTAACAGAGAAAGATTAAGTTTTATAGGAACTGTATATAAGATTTTCATTGTAAATTAGATAAACATGACCAAATCAAATCAAATACAGCTTTTACTGGTGGTTTGGAAGCAGAATGAGCTCACAGAAGAAGAGTCTCACATTAGTCTCTTTTGTGGGTTGCCAATTTCAATGCTGAAACCAGAGCTAGTGCAGCCTCTGCACCTCAGTGAGTGGTTTTGAGCTTTCATTTGAGTCATAGCTAGAGTGACAAGATGTCCCTATTTACCTCAAACAGTCCTAGTTTTGAGCTCTGTGTCCCCTGTCCCAGCAGATTTATACAAAACCAGTAAGTTGGCCTAGTTTTATTCAAGAAATGTAGTGGGTGTCCCTATTGTAGACCAATTTGATCTAAACCAGCACTACCTCAGGTCTAAACCAGGATTAAAACAGGACTATCACAATCTTTGACTAATCTCGTCCGTGCCAACAGTAAAGAGCATCATAAACTGGCATTTGTTTAGCCAAAAAACAGAAACTGTTTGCAAATGACCATAAAGAAAAAATAATAATAATGGTGCAATAGAAGTCCCTCAGATGAGAGATGACTGACAACAATGCACAGTGTTACACGCTCTTTTCACTGTTTTATTTATAACATCCCAACCCGGGTGTGTCCCAGTTTTGAATTTTGAAAATCTGGTCTTGTCACCCTAGTCATGGCCTGTGACATACACTGAGAATGAAAAAGACTTCATCTGCAGGCTAAGGTACTGGTTCAGATGTGATTGTAGTATAGGCTGACTCGATTTTCAAAACAAAAAACTGGAACACCCCCGGTTTAAGGTGGTAGGTAATACGAAATTGTGTAATTAAGGAAAACTGTTCTGCATTCGGCCCATTCATGACTAAAATGTGAGTCAGTATAATCATATTTTCTTTGTGTTTTGGTCATTATTAAGCAGCTTTTCTGTATTTTACCAAAACAAATGATAGTTTATGCTCCTCTTTGCTGTTGGCAGGTATTAGATTGGTCAAAAATAGGGACATCTGGGACATTTCTTGTATAAAACTGGGACAAATCACTGGATGTCTGTACACCCTATTGTAGTACCACTGTAGTGCAGGCTATATACTTTGATTGTTTTGCATTAAAATTTTATTTAAACTATATAAAATGAATAGTGCATATATTTTACTTTATTTACACAAACAGCAGTAAATGTCTAATAAGATTTTAATGTGAAATAAATAATTAATGACAAAAAACACAAGATGCAGTTTTTACAGCAGACGCAGGGGGCGCCAAAGAGCGACCGTGCCTGTAGAAGAAGCAGCTCTTCATGCAAAAAGATCCACAATGGTAATAAATGTGCTTTATTTTGGCATTTAACCTTCGTTTTTGTCACATTTCTGAATATCATTGATAAGATTAAGTTGCGTGTGTTTTATAGATGAATAATTGTGTGGATCTATCGGGAGATGGCACGAAAATATAGAAAAACGTGTTATGTTTTGAGCTAGCATCTGCGCTCTATGTTTTCTAATGTGTAGCTTTAGCATCGTGGCTGTCACTTTACTGAAATGTTTTGTTTTCATTTTCCAGGGGACTCAAATAAAAGATGTGATCATTAAGCCGGATGCCCCGTCGACCCTGCTGCTGGACAAACACGCGGACTACATCGCGAGTTATGGCTCTAAAAAGGACGATTATGTGAGTAAATGTGATGTGTGGTTTGCATTTGGGGCTGGGCTTTGAAACTCGTGATGATTCTGATGCTTGGAAGCTGCAGTTCATTTTATTCTTGCAGGAATGGAGCTCATAGTGTTGAGGTTTAGTAGAATTCTGTCCCCTGTCCATCAGATTTATACAAAACCACTGATTTATCCCAGTTTTATACAAGAAATGTCCCAGGTGTCCCTATTTTTGACCAATTTGACCAAGACTAAACTAAGATTAAACCCAGACTACATCAGGTCTAAAACAGGACTAACACAATTTTTGACTAATCTGATCCCTGCCAACAGTAAAGAGGAGCATAAATTGTCATTTGTTTTGCCAAAATTCTGTAATCCATGTTTGTGAATGATAGGGTTGTGCAAAAATATCAAAATATCAATATATCATATAGTTTAATGTGTCAACCAATCAACTTTATTTGCACATCTCTGGTCGTGCACAGTCTATAATAAAATAAAAAGAAAGACAAATACATACAACACACGCCATACATTCAAACCTCAGTGCATCAGGGACACAATAGCAAATTTACAAATTATCGCCAAGAGTATTTTTTAGTGTATTTTACTTAATTATTTTGTTACAGTGCTACAGTTTTGTTACTTGTGTAGAGGAAAGAAACTCGTTTATGCAACACATTTGACATTTTCACTGTTTTGATGAGTAAAATGGGCGTTTTCCATATGAACTTTGTACAAGAAGTGGTTTAACAAAGACTTTTAGTATCACAGTCATGATTTTGTCTTTATTTTTTTATTGAACCATATCAAATCGATTTAAAGTGTATCGTATCGAATTGAAAGTGCACTGTATCGAGGTATGTATCGTATCAAAGTCCCTCGGATTATTACTCACACGAGAATGCACAATGTTATACGCTCTTTTCACTGTTTTATTTATACCAAGATCCCAACCCAGGTGTGTCCCAGTTTAGAATTTTGAAGGAATTGTTCTTCCCAGAGTACTTTTCCAGCAGCATATTTTTACTGCTATTTGAGTAGTACCATTTGACAACCCTAGTTTTAGGCAAAGAAATCCATCCACATGGAAGCAAGCAGGCGGCACACTCACCATCAGAAAAGTGCGACAGTGCACGTTATAATCCCTCTGTGTAGTAAAAGGTACTGTTGTCTGCAGGAGTACACGTTGTCGGAGTACCTGAGGATGAGTGGGATCTACTGGGGTCTGACGGTAATGGACCTGATGGGGCAGCTGCACAGAATGAACCGCGCTGAGATCATAGAGTTTATAAAATCCTGTCAACACGAGAGCGGAGGCATCAGCGCTAGCATCGGACACGACCCCCACCTGCTCTACACTCTCAGCGCTGTGCAGGTGAGCGCAAGGCTATGGCACTCTATTATATTGCACTAATTATTATTATAATAATTAATCGATTTTTTTCCCCTTGTATTGGTGGATTTTTAATTTGATTTTTGTTTATTTAAATAAATATTAAATAGCTTTAGATATTAAAATGTAAAATGGTTTCTTTTATATAGTACTTTTTCTACCTTTAAGTCACTCAAAGTACTTTACATCAAGGAACCACCACACTTGTGCTGTGTGTGTGTGTGTGACAGTGCTATAGATCTCTAATATGTGCACACAAACGCATGTGTCAATCTGTACTAATTTATTTATATTTTGTGGCAGTGTTCGTATTGTTAGTTTTCTGTTTGTTTTTTGTCTTTTATTTGTCACTATATGGTGTCTTAAAACTTAACAAAATTAATAATAAAAAAAAAAAAAAAACATTCACACACCAGTGCACGCAGACTCTGGGGTTAAGTGTCTTGCCCAAGGACACAACAACAGTATTCATCTGTAGGAGCTGGAATCACCCCACCAACCTGTGGGTCAGTGGATCTGACCGCTCTCCCAATTTTGTGGGATTTGAACTGCCCACCTTCGAATCAGTGGACAAACAATAAATTTTCTATATTCAGACACTTAATAATTGCCATTTAACACAAAAAAGAGGATTGGGTGTAGACTAGGGATGGGCATGATTAATCGATAATTGATCATTAAGAATTTCATCGATTACGTTCATTTTAATCGACAAACCGAATGTAGGTTGCTGTGTGTAGTGTGACCAAACAGGGGTCCGTACATGTAGCTCTTTGCACTCAGAAGGAGCGAGACACAAACAGTCGGTCAGTCTGCAACGCAAATGCGTATTTAACGATGACTTGTACAAGAAATTCCACGCTTTCCGTTGCGTTCGGGACAAGTGTGAGTCCATGTGCACAGTGTATAAAGCAGCACATATGTTTCGGTGTCCAGTGGGAAAAAGTTTTACCAGGTGAGAGTCGCGCAATGTCGATGACGAGTCCCCACCTCCCTCCCCCCGTACGGTGTCCTGGTTTTGACAAACGCAAATATGGTCACACTAACCTGTATTCCACTGAGTCATGTCTTTTAATCCAACAGAAGTTGACCGCATCAGCGACACGAGAGCTGTAGTTTTATCTTCGCTTAGTTTCTGCAAATTAGCGATGCGGTTTTAAGTTTCGTTTTTGTGAGAGTTGCGCAAAACTGCGTTAAACACATTATAATCTCAAACGGACTGATGTGGCTCTAGAGTCGTTACGGTTTATATGTCGTAAAGTTGAATTTATGTATGCAGGTTAGTAGTGCAGATAGTAATAATAATGATGATCATTTTAATATAAACACGTTAATGATTAATCGATAATCGATCGTCGGAAGAATTAACGATCGATTAAGAAAATTTAATCGAATGCCCATCCCTAGTGTAGACCTCTCCAATAAAAAGTCATAAGATAATCATGACTATTAGAGATGAATCTGGATCCCAGCGTCAGAGCCAGTCCTGTTTTAGTGACTGATGTTTTTACGTTAAACTACATAGGACACAGTTTAGTTGTGAAATCAGCTTGTCCTTTTCCTTAGATCCTGTGTCTGTACGACTGCATGGACGCGCTGGACGTGGACAGAGTGGTGGAGTACGTGAAGGGGCTGCAGCAGGAGGACGGATCCTTCGCTGGAGACAAGTGGGGTGAGCGTCCTTGAGTGTGATGTGTGTTAGTAACAAATCAATAAAATGCATGTTAGAGTATAAAATATGTAAAATACCCCTTTTTAAAAACTTAACCTACTTATTATAATATATTCTGTCTAATTTTAGGGGAAATAGACACACGTTTTTCATTCTGTGCTGTGGCTACACTGGCATTACTGGTATGTTGTGTGTCTTCTAAATTAAAGTGAATTCAAATGTTACAAGTATAAACTCATCGTCTGCATCATGTTTTCAAAGGGGAAGATGGACGCCATAAACGTAGACAAAGCCGTAGAGTTTGTTTTGTCTTGTATGAATTTTGATGGAGGTTTTGGATGTCGACCTGGTTCAGAGTCTCATGCTGGGCAGGTGAGTTCATCTAATCAGGTTTACAATAATGATACTTATAGCTTTGTTTTATGATTTTACTATTATTTTAAACCATCATTGCTGCCTCAAGAACAGAACTAAGCATTTGTGACAAAACCTGACCCGGAATTTGCATCTGCTGCACTGCAAATCTGTCTGATCTGGCCAAGATTTTAAAACATTTATCAGGTTATTCATCTTGTTTTCAGATTTATTATCTACTTACTAGTTCTGAGACTGCTTAATTCTAGTCTAGAGGTAGTTAATTTTACTTGACAAGTTATCTTAAAATAATCTGTCCATGCAGCAAGATAATTTCACCACTACTAAGTCACCTTCTGATAGATTTAAGAGTTTATATCTTAAGTTTTTTTTGCAGTGTCCTTGGTCTGATGTTCTACAACGCCGCATCTAAAACTACATAATGAATGTCTACTTGTTCTTTTAAAAGTCCTATGTGAGCTTTAAGCCAAGTTATAATGTTGTTACCTCATCAAAAACATGCCCAGAGTTGTTTTGCTTCATTCACATGTTTGAGTGACCTTTTATTATTAGTCTGTCTACATCTCCAAAGCTCAAACAAAACAAACACAACAAACAAAACACAAATTTGGGTATGTTTTTGATGAAGAAACAATGTTATAACATAGATCAGAACATACATTAATATGGGACCTTTAATGCTTATGTAATGTATGTTTTTTGTCCTGCTTTGTTCCCATTTTCTTGCTCCTCCACTGCAAAAAAGCTTGACCAAAACTTAAGATATAAACACGAAAATCTATCAGAAAATGACTTAAAAGTAGTGAAATTATCTGTCCATGCAGCAAGATAATTTTACTTGACATGTTATCTTAAAATTAACTACCTCTAGACTAGAATTAAGCAGTCTCAGAACTAGTAAGTAGATAATAAATCTGAAAACAAGATGAATATACTGATTATAAGTTTTAAAATCTTGGCCAGATCAGAGAAATTTGCAGCGTCCTCCTCATGTGTCTCCGTCTCCTCTTCAGATCTACTGCTGCACTGGGTTCCTGTCCCTCACTGGGCAGCTGCACCAGGTGAATGCAGACCTGCTGGGCTGGTGGCTCTGTGAGCGCCAGCTGCCCTCAGGAGGACTCAACGGACGACCAGAGAAGGCAAGTACAATACAGTGGATCTGCAAAACCACAAATGATATAGTAGACTGTTTCAACAATAGTAAGTCATTATCACTGGGGCTAGATATTATGATTGTCAAAAGTATAGAAAATCAGGCACTAGCAGTAGTATCTAGTTTTGATACTACTAATAAATATTAATACTGAAAAAGTCCCATTCTCAGGACAGAACTGAACCTTTTCTGAATAGCTTTAGAATGATCTTGAGCTGTATCAGAACAAGTATAAGAGCACAAAAACTCTTATACGCCCATGGACAACTATGGAACCAACCAGGACCACTGAGGGATTACACAGATATAAGACCACATGAGAATATAAAAAAGTACTACGAATTAATGTTGAAAATCACATTATATTGATACATTTTATTGCCAAGAACTCTGTCATAATATATTACTGTTTTAATATCTTGAGTACTACCCTATACTTTCTTCTGCTCAGCTCCCAGACGTGTGCTACTCGTGGTGGGTTTTGGCGTCTCTAAAAATCATCGGTAAAATCCACTGGATCGACAAAGGCAAACTACGAGCCTTCATCCTGGCCTGTCAGGACGAGGAGACGGGAGGCTTCGCCGACCGCCCGGGAGACATGGTGAGACTGACACCGTGATTTATGTTATAATGTTGTTTCCTCATCACAAACAGACCTGGAGTTGTGTTTTGTTTCATTCACACATGTTTGACAGACAAGCCCTGCAGATTTAGGCTGTGCTCTTCGCTCAAACAGAAAACACTTTGTGATGTCATGTGGTAATGCAGGAAGTGCTCCACTATGCTTTTAAGCTTCATTCACCGTCACTATCAATCTCTACTGAACTAAAGGTAAAAGGTAAATGTTCAGCTTCATGACATCACAAGGAGGAACGGAGCATTTTGAGCTTTGCAGAGAGAGTAATAATAAAGGGCTGTCAAACGTGTGAATGAAACGAAACACAGAAATAACAACATTATAACATGACTTAAAGCTCACAGGAGTCAATTTTGTGTAATATAGGACAGTTTAAATATATTATCATATTTTTAATGAATGCTTCTTTCATTATTAACTCTGTGGGCTGTCCTCCTAACGAGCCACTTCAGTGTCCTCTCTCTGTCCCCCAGCAGAGGGCGACAAAGTTCTAAATTAGGGATGGTCTGATATGGATTTTTTTGAGCTGACTCCAATCTGCTGCAACCAATCACTGATATTTGTCAATACAGATCATTTTAAAATCCCACAGATTTATGTTTGTGAGTTTTACTATAACTTACTAATAGTTTGTTATATGATTGTTGCAAAACATGAAACGTCAAAGGAATGGTCTTCAAATAATGTAAAAAGCTTATCCTGAGTGATATACATGACCAGTCAAAAGTTTGGACACATTTTTTTATTTTCAACATACCGGAAGTTGTCGTCTCATGTTTCCAAACGTCTTCCTGGTTTGTTACCTAAGCGTGAATAGAGGCTCTTCCTATTTGGAATGCGGGCCAGCTGTGTTTTTTATATGCTTAAATTTATTACAACCCCCACCCAGTTTAAGGTGTTTGTCACTGCTGCCATAAGTAATTTAACGTAACATTTCTGTTTACCAACATATCTTTTTATGTTTCTGTAAGGGTTAATCCACCAGTATATGCAAGATCTTTCTATCAAAATGATATCTTCAATGCTAAAATTTAACTATTGTTGCTATCCATACATTTTCAAGTTTAATATTTTCCAAAAATGACACCAAAGTCTCATCCAAAGCAAGTCTTTGGGACCAGCTAGAAACTATTTGGAACTCAGTAACAAAAAAAGACTTTGCAAAACTACACAAAAACAGTGCCAGCAAGAATGCGCCAAAGGTAGTCACACAAAATATTGACATTTTTGGTTATTATTTATTATTATTTATTTATTTATAAGGACTATTTTGTTAATCCAATCGGTCAATTTTCTTAATGAATAACAAATTGTGATTGAAATTGAAATTAAAAAATTTAAAATTTTTAATTTGAAACAAGTTTTTGATATACTATGAAGTTATTTATGTTTTCTTGATTTCATGACAGGTGGGCTAATACATTTGTTAAGCACTGTATACACTGATAGCATTTATATATTTGATGTTTTCAGTATTTATATAAAATGTGGAAAGAAAAAAAAAACATTGAATATGTGTCCAAACTTTTGACTTATTTATTCTGATGATTATAATTATTGATCATTTGTCCGTGTGTCCTGTAGGTGGACCCGTTCCACACGCTGTTCGGAGTGGCAGGTCTGTCTCTGTTGGGGGACGAGCAGGTGAAGGCGGTGAACCCGGTGCTGTGTATGCCTGAAGACGTTCTACAGAGGAGAGGACTGCAGCCGGACGTGCTCAGCTAGCCCCCACCGCTTATGTGTGCGCCACAAACTGTTCAAAGACAGACAAGAACCACCTCAAACATAAATGGAATACAACTCAAGACTGGTAATGCTTTCACGTTTTGCTCAAATACCAAATAAGTCACAAACGATCAAGGTACGACTCAAACAGTTACAAGGACAAGTTCTGCGGGAAGTGCGCTGTGTTAAAGGGCGCATACTGCTAATTTTTTTGATTTTATAATGTTGTTTCCTCATCAAAAAACATATCTGGAGTTGTGTTTTGTTTCATTCACAGTTTAATTCAACTCATTTCTACCTTATGATGTCATTCAGTGGTAACACAGATAGTTCTCCACTGTGTTTTTTGTGTTTTTAAACTCCGCACACTTTCACTAGAATCATTTGGATAATTTCTGAAACTGGAATTGTCAATCTCTATTGAATTAACGGTAAAATACAGCTGTTAACTTGAAAAGTACCAATTCATGACATCACAAGGTGGAACAGAGCATTTTGAGCTTTGGAGATTTAGACAGACTAATAATGAAGGCTTACTCAAACTTGTGTGATTGAAACAAAACACAAATCCAGGTCTGTTTTTGAGGAGGTTACAACATTATAACATGACTAAAACTCAATTTCAAAGTCAATTTTATGTAATACAGGACTTTTAAAGGTGAAGATTTCATTATTGTGTCTGAAATGTTCCACAGTATGGCATTAAACTTGTATTCTACCCTGCTCAAAATTAGGAATACATGTTTTAAGGCACTTTTGAGTCACAAAAACACCTGTAATTGTAAATGACGGTAGTTTTAAAGGTGCATTGTGTAACTTTTCTGGTGGAGGGTCCGTCAGATTCTTTTTCTCCGTGTAAAAGCAACTGCCTTGTCTGGAAAGTTTCACAGTATGACATTAAACCTTTCTATCTTCACGGAGACCAAATCAGAACAAGTTACAGGTCACTTCAATCAGAATGCCTGTTTTTCTGGGTATTTTTGAGCTATAAAACCACCTGTAACTGAATAAATTTAAGGTAGAGCTGTTTCATATCATACTGTGGAATATTTACATCTCCTTAGAAACAAGCAGGTGATGGACCCCCAACCAAAAAGTTACAGTATCTTCAAAATAAAAGCACTATGTAAGTTTTCAAAATGGATCTATAATCTGTTTAAAATCTCATTATCACTATTTAATCCATACAACTGAAGCATTCCGTATAATACAAAGTCTGTACAGCTTTTTATGTCTCCATTTTACACCAGACCAAACATGAAACGCTGGAAAAACGTATCTTGTGTGTTTAGCCTATAACCAGTTAATAGATGAACTGAATTATCAACACTAGCATAGTACACATGGTTTCTGTTCTCCTGTTTTATTGTTTCCCACTCAAAAGCAGTTGTACAACATCTCTGTGATGTGTATATGTAAATAAAAACGTAATAATTTAAATGTTGTGTTTTCTTTTTTCTAAACTGTATCGTAAAGTACAGAAAAGGGGATTTGAAGAGGCTGTTTTTGGAAGAAATCTCCAAATCTATGATCCACAAATCTTGAGCCCTTTCGTTTGTTTGGTTTAGATCCTGAAAATTGACCTATACGTTTAATATGTCTTTGGGTTTGAATGACGGCATCACTTTCTGAAGCTACTGATTCTTTGTGGTGACATTACGCTGGGGGTGTTCTGTTTATGCGTTTATGGTGGAAAGTTCAGCAGTGAATATGATGATCCGACATATGAATTAACAATTGTCAAAAAGTTTTGAAGATAGTCTGAAATCTCAAGAAAATATCTTAAATTGATGTATACACCACATTTTCAGGAGCCTGTGATCAGTCCAAGTGTCCATGGTTCTGTTTAGGAGTTTGATTTTCGACAAAAAGATGAGAGTGACTAACTGTGACTGTAATGGAGACTTGGCAGTAGCGGCAGTAGCTCAGTTGGTAGAGCATTTGCCCACTGATCTGAAGGTTGGTGGTTCGATTCCAGCACAGGTTGAGCAGTCAGATCCACTGATCCACTGGTGTGATTCCAGCTCCCACAGATGAATGTTGTCGTTGTGTCCTTGGCAAGACACTTAACCCACCTTGCCCACAGTGTCTGCGTACACCGGTGTGTGAATGTGTGAGTGGTTCCTTGTAAAGTGCTTTGAGTGCCTTGAAGGTGGAAAAGCACTATAGAAAAATGTGACCATTTACCATCATGTTAGAGGGACTTGCACAAATCAGCTCACCTGTTTTAGTTTCACAGGGTTCCCACAGTCATGGAAATCCTGGAAAAGTCATGGAAATTGAAAATGTCATTTTCCAGGCTTTGAAAAGTCAGGAATTTTGTAAATTCAATGGAAGTTTTGGAAAAGTCATAGAATTTTAGCACAGTTTACTTTCATGCTACTACAGTATTTTGAATGTTAAAAAACTATAAAACCAAACCACAAGGTGAGTGGAAAGAGTTAACATTTCATATTTAGCCCTAAAGGTTTGATCAGTTCTACACATGTGCCGTAAAGTCATGGAAAATTCACTTTAGGTCAAAAGTCATGGAAGTTTTTAAATTTTGTTAGTGAAAAAGAGTGGGAACCCTAATTTCAGCTCAGTCCATTCTTTCTGGTTAGATTTTGTTAAAAAGCTCAAATAAAATCTAACAAAGCCTCAGACAGAGTAGTGCCTACAGTTAGCATCACACCCCCAGGGAATGTTGATGACATCAGCTGCAAAGTATCAACTGTGAAAAACTCATTTCACTTTCGTTTATTTATACTGACACAAACCGAGAGTCTCAGTAATTGCAAAGATATGAACCATAAACCAGGTCAACAAATCTGCAATCTGGCAATTACACAGCAAATTCCAACTCAGTTTAGACAATAAACATTTAAAGATGCATTGTGTAACTTTTCTGGTGGCCGCTTTTCTCCATGGAGAGGTCAAAGCTTAGTCTAAACCTTTCTACTTTCATGGAGACTGAACCAGACCAAGTTACAGGTGACAGATGATCACAGTAAGAACACAAACATTTCAGATTTTTTATTTATTTTTTTCATATTTCATTGAGTTTGAAGGGCACCTCTAGATGGCGCCATAACCATTGGACCAAATGACCACAACAAGTCTTACTGCTGTCTCACACAAAAAGAAGTCCACATTCAGAAAAGCAATCCACCTTAATTTGCTCATATTAAGTAAGAGGGTATTTGACCTTTGATAATATAAACCATTAGGCCTGGCTGACATTTTCAAGTATTTAATATTTGCAAATGGAACCAGCCTCGGTAAAAACCCTGGACAAACTGTGGTCGTTGGACAACAGTTCAACGGTTCACTGGCATTTCAGATACAGCGGCAGAGTGGTTAACGCTTTTTCACAAGAAGGTTCTACGTTTCAGTGGCGGCACCGTACCAGGGCCGTGTCTGTGGAGTTTGGTCACATTTTTATACAGCGCTTTTTCACCTTTCATCCAATCCACAAGACAGTTTCCAGCGCTTTCTGCTACGTCAAACGCGTCATAGGTGTATCTGCCGCGTCATCGTTGTAGCAGCTTTAGTTCGTTGTCACGTGGGAGGGTGGCAGAAATACTCTGCAATTTGTTTAAAAAAACACCAAATCAATCTAAAAACCACTTTGGTGATATATACAAAGTCCACACATCACTCTTAGAAAGTAGAAAGCTCTGAAAAGTTGATTTTGTACGAGATGGGCCCTTGGGCAGAATTATGTTTCAACCATGAGGAAACTAATAGAATCAATAAATAAAATAATAATAATAAAGTAGAATAAAACCTTAAAGGCAGATCTGACCGCTCAGCCCGTGATGTTTATGTCGAAAGCGGGATTCAAACCGTCAACCTTCTGATCTGTGGACAAATGCTCTTACCTGACAAAGGTGGGGACTTGCGAGTCGTGACTTGGACTCAAGTCAGACTTAGAGTCTTGAGTCTTTTAGGACTTGAGACTTGACTTGATAAAATGTACTAAGACTTGGGACTCAACTTGTGATCTCCAGTGTGAACTTTAAACACCCCAAAAGTGTCCCGCATGAGCATTGGAGGACACGACGAGCGTGCTCAGTGTTTACGGAAGTCGCCTAAACGTGAACACGAGCACCTGGCAATTTAAAGTTGCCGAAGCCTGAACATGTACAGATTATTTAGATAAAACAAGAGAAGTAGAGCGCTTCACTGGGTCTTAAAAGAGTAAAAAGTATCAGTACAGGTGCTCTACGAGGGTTAAGGCAGTGGTCTTAGAACAGAAAATTACCCTTACAGGAAAATGTAAAAATGGATAAGATACAAACCCGAGGCACTCCGACTGAATATATTAAAAGTCCTTTATTACATGAAGGGACGTCAACGCGTTTCGACCAGCAAGATGGTATTCTTTGTCAGGGCAAAGTAGTCATTCGTCATCAGTTCATGTAATAAAGGACTTTTAATATATTCAGTCGGAGTGCCTCGGGTTTGTACCTTACCCATTTTTACATTTTCCTGTAAGGGTAATTTTCTGTTCTATGTACAGATTATTATTTGTTTTAAGGAGGAGATTGAGAAGGAGAAGGACGAGGATTTTTGGCCATGGAGTTTTGCGGGGCAGTGGCAGCAACGTCCGTAGAAAAGATCGTGTGGGTCCAGAGTCGCAGCTGAGAGCGGAGGGATTGTGATGTGCTTCGCTGCTTCACTAACACAGAGTTCATACACAATTTTAATTTGAGAAGAAGAACGTTTGTGTACATTTGTGACGTGTAGGTGGGATGAATGCGACCTGGCTGTTCAGACTGAAGCCGCATGTCAAAAGATCGGATATGTATCAGTTTTAGGAGCACATATCCAAGTGATCTGGGTCACATTTGAAAAAACTGGATCTGTGTCATTCAAAGTGCCATTAAAAGATCAGATACAGGTCACATAGGGGCCAAAAAATCAGATTTGGGGTCACTTGAGACTGCAGCCTGAACGTAGCCATAATGATCCACTGGTGTCATAGATTATAACTATACAGCACACACAATATGTCTTCTTTAAAAGTTCGCTGTCTTCCAGAGTAGTTTTGTTTCATTTTTTTAGTTCAGAAGTTTGTTTCCTCTCCTCTGTTGTGTTGTGCTGTCAGTGGAGGGGGTTATCTCCCTGAACAGAACCGAGGATTAGACAAAACCACAGGCGTCGCGCAAACAGAGACCAGCACTTTACAAACATCTCATTAAAAACACACAGGGACTCAAGGTCAGGCCCACTGGAGGGTGTCATCAACTGTTCACAAATCCATTGTGCCGTTTTCTCATCTGTTATCATATTTCCTCATCAAAAAGATAGCTGGAGTTGTTTTCTGTTTCATTCACACATGTTTAAGACACAAACTCTGCATATTTAGGCTTCTTTAGTTCTTGTCTCAAACAGAAAACACTCTATTCCACCTTGTGATGTCATGTGGTGATACAGTAAGTGCTCCACATACAGATGAAACAATGAGGAGAAGTTACACTGTTTTAATGCCCTGACATGGAGTCTAGAACATTGTTTCCCAAAGAGAGGGTCACGGCTCTCAGGTGGATTGCAAGAGATTTTTTTTTTTTTTTTTTTTGGATTGCCTTGTCATGATCTTCATGTAGGTCTGCAAAATACAGTTCTGACACATCTTGAGATGTTAAGACATGTTTTGTATAATTTCTAATCTTTTTGTAATTATTTTGTTGACTATTTTATTCCAGTATTGCTGGTTCAATTGAATGTTGAAAAGAAAAAGAAATGGGCTACATTTAATGTCCAAAGAGGCGACTTATGGATCCTTTTATTGCTGTTTCTCATTGTTTAAAACTTGAGTAATACTAATTGTTCAGAGACACGATCACTCAGTCAACAATAAAATATGAGTCCCCCTAAAAAAAGTTTGGGAAACACTGGTCTAGAACACGATGCTCAACACCTTTTTCTGAAACCCGACTGATAAAACTTCAAAATGGAGCATTTATTTAAATAAGTTGTAAGTTTATAACTTTTCTAACACTTTTGCAAGACAGAGTAATTTAGGCCAGAAGTCATTTATGCGTTTATTTATGCATAGCCCTGATGGTCTGATGTGATAATACAACATCACAGATTTATTTAGTATTTTAAAATCTTGCATCAGCCCCAGTTCATCCCTTGTTGTCTTATCATTGCAAAGAGATAACTTCTGATGTCATAGAAGGAAGCGCCATTTCCAATTTTTAAGAATAAACTAATGTTATTCCAGAATAAATTAGTGTTATTTCAGAATAAACCAGTATTATTTCAGAATAAACTAATGTTATTTCAGAATAAACTAGTGTTATTTCAGAATAAACTAGTGTTATTTCAGAATAAACTAGTGTTATTTCAGAATAAACTAGTGTTGTCTCAGAAAATAAGGCAACTGTGATGTAAATCTGCAACTCCACATTTCCACATTTATTCTTAGAAATTGAAGATCCAACCAAAGA